GAGAGCGCGAGCTGAAGGCGCTCAGCTGCAGGGAGGGTAGAGTCCTCCAAGTGATAGTGGACGGCCTCGCAGAGATCGAGGTCGTCGCTGTGGTCGCCCTCAGGTGACAGTGGGGCAACAACGTCCTACTCACCATACTCCAGCGCGCTGAAGCGGCGCGAGAAGTGGCGGCCCTGCTGCGTGGAACGGCGGGGGCGACAGCGGAAAGGGGAACGGCGCTGGGATGTGCCGTGAGAGGAGGAGGAGGCGTAGCCCGTACGCTGGGGCTAGGAGGAGGAGACGGGGTGAAGACGGGCTCGCATCCGCTGGTGGTCCCTGGCGGCCTCGTAAGCCTGTGGGGCCGATGTGAACTCGTACCGCCATAGCTCGGAGCGGTACTCGAGCGGAAGKCTGGCCAAGAAACGATCGATAAGGGCAGCCTCGAGGAGGAACGCCACGTCGCAAACGAAGCGGGCGTCCTGAAAGACCTGGATGTGGCGATCCAGGCCGGCAGCGCCACCAGAGCCGGACCAGCATGTAGTGACGACACGCTCGAAGGCGTCAGCCACGTCGTATCGGGCTCTGAACTGATCCTCGAGGAATGCCTGGAAATCCACGAACGTCGGAGTCCGACCCTCACGAAGGGAGTAGGCATAAAAATCCTCCCAGGCCTCGAAAGGACCGCCACGTAGGCGCGTGGAGAGGTGACCCACCCACATATCGGGTATGGCGCCCATGAGCTGAAGTGTGCGGGTGGCAGACTGCAGCCACCGAGACACGCGTATGCCTGTACCGTCATACAAGGCAATGTCCGACAAGCGGATGAGTGGCGCGCCACTGTTTTGGCGGCGAGGGGATCGAGGAGCGGAGGCCTATGCCACGACTGAGTAAGTCGGCGCAGGTCACTGTGCGCCCGGGCTGCATGGGGGAGCGGCAGTGGCAACAGCGGCAGGCTGCGAGGGTGCTGTGGTAGAAGAGGTCGCAACAACCGCGGGAGTAGGAAGAAGGTAGGAAGGAGTTGTATAGGGTGCAGGGCGCGGAAAGCGAGCCTGCATGGGAGGAAGGGTAGAGGAGGTAGGGGGTGCGTCTGAAGGCGCGGCCACCTGTGAGGGTGGGGGTGGCTGAAGTCGTAAGAGGGCGAGGTCGGCCCGGAGCTGGGCAATCTCGTCCGCCAGACCTCGAACGTAGGTCGATCGAGGGGTGGCGGGAGGAAGAGTGGAGGGGGTGGACGCACAAGCGGCGCGGGGCATCCGAGAGGGGGGAGAGCCAGGTGGCGCTGCGGTCGTGCGAAGGGGAGGGAGAAGCGGGGCACCCGGAAAAGCTGAGACCATGGTAGAGGGTTGTTGTACCGTGGCTGTAGTGACCGGGATCTGGGCGGGTGCGCCCGTAGACTGAGGGGGGGCCTGGCCCGTGGCGGCCGTCGTGCTAGGGGCGTGGACAGTCACCAAGATGGCCGGGTCAGGGGCAAAGGAGGAGGAAGCTCCGCCGTGGCCACCCTGTCGGAGGACGGGGGACCCGGACTGGGAGCCAGGAGATGACGGACACGCAGCGTCCTGGAGTTGTTGCATGCCGGCGACAAGGGTCGCCAACTGCGCCTGTAAGGGCGCGAGGGCCGCGAGTTGCGCCATGATGGGCGCAAGGAGGGAGGTGAGGAGGGTGTGTAGATTCCCCTGGGACTGATGACCCTGGTCCGCCGGCACGGGTGTGGAGCCCGATGCCGTGGTCATCGCCGTGTCGGCGGCGTGTGACGCAGGGGGAAGTCCGCGGTAGAAAGCAGCGAACGGCGCTAGCAAGGCTAGCACGGGCGCCGTCAAAGGGGGAGGGGTGGTTCGGGTCCAAGGTGCCCGAAGAGGACGGGGAAGTAGGGGGGTTTTGAGGAACCCTAACCCCTACAAAAACCCTAAGAAAACCCTAACCGAGGTTTAAGGCTAGGGTAGGGTACCGGTGACCTAATCAAGAAAGTGAAATAGCAAGCATGGGGGGGGGAAAACGGGAGAAAAATAAATAAACAGCGAGATTTCGGGAGAAAATAAAAATAAATAAGAAAGTAAATAAATAATAAAAATAAGTAAAGAAATAAGTAAAGATATGTGAAGGGAAACAATATTTATTTTTTTGAAATTTTCGGCAGCATTTCCCTACCCCCCACGGGGTCGAGAATGTGCCAAGGGAAAAGGAGAGACCGAGGTGTGCACACTAGAGATGCCGCAAATAAATAAATAAATAAATAAAATTCAAAAAATAAATAAAGAAATAATAAATAAATAAATAAGTAAATAAGTGTGTGAGGAGGTGGGGAGAAATGGGTTATCTGATTTTTCAAAAATTTTGGCAGCATTTCGTTACCCCCATGGGGTCGAAGTGTGCCGAAAAGACTAAGTAAGAGAAAATCAGAAAATTTCGGCAGCACTTCGTTACCCCCAGGGGGTCAAAACGCGTGCCGAAAGCAAGAAAGGCTAACACCTAATCAGATTTAGGGTTGCCGCCAAGAATTTTCAGAATAAATAGAAAAATAAATTAAATAAAACAGAAAATTAGAAAGAAGGTGGGAAAGAAGATATTTCGAATTTTTGGAAAAAGAAAAAAAAAAATCAAAAGAGAGGTGGAAAGAAGAAAAACAGAAAAATTTTCAAAGTAGGGGGGAAGGGGAGTGAAAAGTGAGGGAGAAAAGAAAGAAATAGGTGGGGGGGAGAGAAAAAGATGAAGTGAGAGGTGGGGGGATGATGTGGTGGTAGTTGGGGGAGAGGTGGGTTGGGAAAAGGTGGAGAGAGATCAAGAAGGAAGAAGAAAAGAAGGGAGGAAAAGAAGAGATGAAGAAAATAGAATAAGAGAATGGGTGGTGGGAGAAAGGTGGGGTGGGGAAGATAAAAGGAGGAGAGAAAAGATGCAGTAGAAGGTGGGGGAAAGAGAAGGGGTGAATAAGAGGAGAGAGGAGAGGTAGGGAGATTGGGTTAGTAGAGGAAGAGGGGAGAAGGGAGTGATACCTGGCCCTTGGTGTCTCCAAGGGCACAAGGTACACCAAGACCAGGAGGGTCTTGGTCTTTGCTGCAGCAACCAGTTGGAGGAGAGAGGGGGCTGAGATCTTGATTAGCCCCCAGCAGCACTTCTGCAGATGTGCAGATGTAGGGTCTGCTGTGTGAGCAGGCCCTCTCCACTGTAGAGCAGCCCCCTAAGCAGGGGGGTCTTCAGTCCCACCACAGGCTGCCACGTGGCCGTGGAGATGGCCACGTGCACAGGCAGCAGCAGCCACGGGGGGGGGGGGGGGGGGGGGAAAAAACAAACTTCCCTGCGGCCCCCTGCCCCCGGCGGGGGGGGGGGGGGGTAAATAGCCATCACGGCACCTCTTCAACATGAGTGTGCCGTGCTACAAAGCTATGGACACACTGTGGCGAGTGTGTTATGAGGCTGCTTATGCACGCGCATGGCTCGGCAAGTGCCTGGGTTCAAACCCCAGCGGCAGCAAAAACTCTCAGATCTTGATAAGATAAATCCGGGAGCGGGGCGGGGTAACGGCGCGTGGCTCGCGCGCGCGCGCGGCGGCCTTAGCCTCGACTTTTGTTGTTTCCCTCAGCTGTGCAGCTGTACGGGGCGGTGGGTGGGAGCGGGGAACGTTCCCGCTCCAATACCAATGTAGCGGACCCACCAGGTGTGGTGATCCGCTAGTGACAGAGATGGAGATGGAGGAAGAAGGGGGGGAGCGAGATGGCACAACGTAGCTCCCCACGCAAGACTCCAACGCACGTACTCCAAAATGTGCAAGTGAAGAATGAGGCTGAAAACAGACAATGGCTGGGGTATACCCCAGCGGACTGACTGGACTGGACTGGACTGGCTGGTACCGACAGAGGTACCGGCCTGGACTGGCCTACCCCGAATACAACATAGGCCTGTGAGAACAGGCCAAGGGGCTGGTCTCACAGGCCAACCAGAGGTCCGCTACACGGTTGACTGGTATGGAAAGACTCTGGAGTCAGCTGAAGCTGTTACCCTCTCAGAGACACGCTGCACTGTTATGGCTCCTCTCTCTTTTAGCTACTCCTTCAGCAGTCTGGTTAGTAGGAAGAGGTCTGGATATCCAGATTAAGTGTGGCAGATGCACATGGCCATTTGAGTCAACTGTCCATCTCTGGTGGGAGTGTCCAACTTCAAAACGGATATGGGAATGGTGGGAACTCCATTGGAAGGAATTCGCAGCCTGGAATTGGGATTGGAACAGATCGTGGGTTCTCCTAGGCCTGCTACCCCCTGACTTACAAATAACAAACGGGTGCGGATATGTAGTACAGGCCTGCAGGGCAATCATCTGCTCAGTTATTTGGGACAACAGGAAC